CTCACTAGTACCCATCATGTAATGTTAAAAGTTCTACAACTCAACAATAAAACCCTAATAACTAAATTCAAAAATGGGTAAAAGTTTCCCGTGGATGAACTTGGAGGATACGTTATATGAAAAACATGAGGTGCTGAAAGATAAATACGGCATATGCTCACTTATGTGTGGAATCTAAAAAAGGTCGAGCTTGGCCAAGTGCAGTGGCTCATGCCTGTAATCCTAGTGAGAGGTGACAACGTGCTAGCAGCCCTCGCTGGCTCTCGGCTCCTCCTAGGCCTCGGCGTCCGCTCTGGCCACACTCGAGGAGCCCTTCAGTCCACCGCTGCGCTATGAGGGCCCCTCTCTGGGGCTGGCCGAGGCCGGAGCCGGCTGCCTCTGCTTGCTGAGAGTGGGGAGGGAAAGGCGCCGGCGGGAGCCGCCGCTGAGCGCGCGCTCGCGGGAAGGCGCGGGATCCAGGTGAGTGCGGACTCGCAAACCCCGCACTGGGCGTGGTCGGCCAGGGCCTGCTGGGCTTGATAGGGGGATGAGCTCCCTCTGGGCTGTGGGAGTGCCCGGGCTAGGTGCTGCAAACTAACGCGGCCAGTGCCAGTGAGAGGGGAAGCTGGCTGGGCTTCTTGGAGGGGTGGGGACTTGGAGCACTTTTCCGTCTAGCTAAAGGATTGTAAACGCACCAATCAGCACTCTGTGTCTAGCTAATAGGGTGGGGGTTTGGAGAACTTTTGTGTCTAGCTGAAGGATTGTAAACGCACCAATCAGCTCAATCAGCTCTCTGTGTCTAGCTAAAGGTTTGTAAATGCACCAATCAGCACTCTGTCAAAACGGACCGATCAGCTCTCTGTAAAATGGACCAATCAGCAGGATGTGGGTGGGGACCAAATAAGGGAATAAAAGCAGGCCACCAGCACGAGCAGCGGCAATCCGTGGGGTAGTGTTCTGTGCTGTGGAAGCTTAATTCTTTTACTCTTCCCGATAAATCTTGCTACTGCTCACTCTTTGGGTCCATGGCACCTTCATGAGCTGTAACACTCACTGCAAAGGTCTGCAGCTTCACTGCTGAAGCCAGTGAGACCACAAACCCACTGGGAGGGACGAACAACTCCGGACCGGAGGAATCAACAACTCTGGATGTGCCACCTTTATGAACTGTAACACTCACCGCGAGGGTCCATGGCTTCATTCTTGAAGTCAATGAGACCAAGAACCCACCAATTCTGGACACACTAGCACTTTGGGAGGCTGAGGCAAGGGGATCACTTGAGGTCAGGAGTTCAAAACCAGCCTGGCCAATATGGTGAAATCCCCATTTCTACTAAAAATGCAAAAAATAGCCAGGTGTGGTGGCACGTGCCTGTGCTCCCAGTTGCTTAGTTGCTTGGGAGGCTGAAGTGGGAAGATTGCTTGAGCCTGGGAGGTTGAGGCTGCAGTGAACAGACATTATGCCACTACACTCCTGACTGGGTGATAAGGTAAGACCCTGTCTCAAAAAAAAAAAAAAAATAGGTGGAATTCATAGAAGTAGAGTCAGATATGGTTACCAGGGGCTGGAGCGATGGGGTGATGTTAATCAAAGGATACCAAATTTCAGTTAGACAGCAGGAATAACTTCAAGAGGCCTATTGTAAAACATGGTGACTACAGTTAATAACAATGTATTGTATTCTTAATAAAAAAATAAGTAAAAGATTAGAACAGATGCTTTGCTGAAGAAGACACATATGACTAACCAATTAACCCATGAAAATGTTCAACACTGTTAGTCATCAGGGAAATGTAAATTAAAACTACATTTCATATCCATCACACACCATTTCATACCTTCAAAATTGCTAAAATTAAAATAACCCCACAAGGTCGAATATTTGTGAGGATGTGGAACAACCAGAACTCTCACACTACTGGTCTAACCACTTTGGGAAAAGGCCTGGGAGGAGGAGGTGGAGGTGGTGGTGTTTCGAGATGGAGTCTCACTCTGTCACCCAGGCTGGAGTGGAGTGGTGTGATCTCAGCTCACTGCAACCTAGGCCTGGGAGTTTCTTGTAAAACTAAACATGCACCTACTCTCTGACCCAGTGTCCCACTCTTTGGTGTGCACCAAGAGGAATGAAATGTATTTTCACCAAAAGACTTGTACTATAAGGTACGTTTCTGGTTTACTCACAGTAGTCCCAAACAGGAAGCAGCCCTAGCAGCCATCCATAGGAAAATGTTCAACTGTAGTGAATTCATTCATTGGAACACTACTCAGTAATAAAATGGAATGAGTTGCTGCTACCCACAACATAGATGAATCTTGAAAGCATTTTGCTGAGTGACAGAAGCCTTAAAGGAACCATGCTCTATGGTTCCATTAATACAAAGTTCTAGAAGAGGCTAAATAAGTCTATATTGGAAAAAAATCAGGTCAGTGAATTGATTTGGGAGATTGTCAATGGAAACTGACCAGAAGGAGCATGAGGACACTTTCCGGGGTCATGGTAATGTTCTGCAAGAACTCCCTTCTGCCCCATGAGCCAGTCTCTGGTAGACTCTAATCTGCATTCTGTCAAATTCACAGAGACAGAAAATCAGATTAGGATACAAATCTACAAATTTTATAGAGTTCTTGCCATTTATCTGTTTTCTGTATGTCTTATACGGTTTTTTGGTTCCTCAATTCCTCCATTACTGCCTTTTTTGTATTTAGTTGATTTTTTGTAATGTTTCATTTTGATTTCTCCCTTCCTTTTCTGTCTGTTTTTGGTAATTGTCTAAGTGGTTGCCTTGTGAATTGCATATTACATCTTAAATTTATAACAACCTGGTTTGAAAAATACCCCTTAGTTTAAATAGTACATAAATACTTTCATCCTATACATTTCCAACCCTTCTCCTTTATATTGTTATTGTCACACATTACATCTTTATATATTGTGAGCCTATTAACATAGATTTACAATTATTATTTTTTCTATTTTTTTAATTATATAGGAAAAAAAGAAAAGTACAATAATACTGGCTTTTATATTTCCCTAAGTAGTTACCTTTACCAGTTTCTTTCTTCATATAGCTTTGAGTTACTATCTGGTGTCCTTTCATTTCAGCCTGAAGGGGTTTAGCATTTCTTGTAGGGAAGGTCTATAAATGAAAAATTCCCTTAACTTTTGTATATCTGGGAATGTCTGAATTTCTTTTTTTTTTTCCTTCTTTCTTTTTCTTTCTTTCTTTTTTTTTTTTCAGAGCAGGAGTGGAAGTTTATTTAAAAAGGCTTTAAAACAGTAAAGAAAGGAAAGTATGCTGGAAGAGACCCAAGCGGGCATGTGAAGGTCAAGTGCCTTTTTGTTTGAGACAGTGTTTCACTGTGTCTCCCAGACTGAATACAGTGGCATGGCTCACTGCAACCTTGAACTCCTAGGCTCAAGCAATCTTCCCACCTCAGCCTCCCAAGTAGCTGGGATTACAGGGGTGACACTGCATTTGGCTAATTTTTAGAAATTTTTTATAGAGACAGGGTCTCCTTATATTACCCAGACTGATCTCAAAATCCTAGGCTCAAGTGATCCTCCCACCTCAGCCTCCCAAAGTGTTGGGATTATAGGTATGAGCCACCACACCTGGCCCTATTGAATTTTTGAAGAATAATTTTGCTAGATATCAAATTCTTGGTGTAAAGTTCTTCAGCACTTTAAATACGTTATCCCCCCTGCCTTCTGGCCTCCATGGGGACTGGTGAGAAATCACCTGTCAATCTTACTGAAGATCACTTTTACTTGTTTATCCATTTACCTGTTGATAGACAGATGATAGACAGAGGATAAGTTGCTTTTCTCTTGCTGCTTTCAAGATTCTGTCTTTGTCATTGTCCTTGACAGTTTGATTTAAATGTTCTCAGTGTATATCCCTTTGAGTTATCCTCTTTAGAGCACATTGAGCTTCTTGGATGTGTAGATGTATAGATTTATGTCTTTCATCAAATTTGAGAAGTTTTTCATTTTTTTGTCTTTTTTTGAGACACAGTCTCAACTGTCACCCAGGCTGGAGTGCAGTGGCGCCATCTCGGCTCACTGAAAACTCCACCTCCTGGGTTCATGTCATTCTCCTGCCTCAGCCTGCCAAGTAGCTGGGACTACAGGCACCCACCACCACACCCAGCTAATTCTCTTTTTTTTTTTTGTATTTTTAGTAGAGATGTGGTTTCACCGTGTTAGCCAGGCTGGTCTCGATCTCCTGACCTTGTGATCCGCCCGCCTCAGCCTCCCAAAGTGCTGGATTATAGGCATGAGCCACTGTGCCCGGCCTGAGAAGTTTTTCTTCACAGCTTTGCAAACACTTACTTTCCATTTTGTTGTTGTTGTTGTTGTTTAAATAATAGCCATCCCAAAGAGCGTAAGTTGTCCCTTCATTCCTACACATAGAATTCACAAAAAGTTTGCTTCTCATTCCTACAGATCATCTGACTTAGAGGTCTTCATTTCTAATGGAGGAATCCTTCTATCAGGAAACACACCAATTATTCCATTTAACTGATAGTTGAGATGGCCTCCTAGCTATTTTGAGGTCTTCCATTGAACCAATAGGCAATTAAGGGAGTTACATACTGGCTTGAGTGATTGGCCCTGATTACCAAGGAGAAATAGTGTTGCTGATGCAAAATGTGGGCAAAGAAGATTAGACCTGGACCTTAGGGCATTCTCAGGGTGGGGTGGGTCTCTTGGTATTTCTATGTCCAACAGTAAAAGTTAATGGAAGATCATAGCAACCCTATAAAAAGGAGATCACTAAGGCCTCAGATCCTTCAGGAATAAAATTTTAGGTCATTCCGCCAGATACAGAACCCTGATCAGCTGAGAGGGTGGCTGAGGGCAAAGGTAGCAATAAAACAGGTAGCGAAAGAAGGAAGTTATAAATATTAATGATGGTCTCTGACTAGTTATAGTAGACTGTAGTAAATATGCATACTTTAGTCTCTGCTTGTATTTGTATATATGAATCAATTTCAGTTTTATTTCTCTTTTCTCCAGCTATTTTACATAAGGAAAGTGGGTGGTGATTAACCTCAGAGTCTCCAGGGACAAACTATCCAGGACTGTGACTGAAATAGAAGAGGAATTAACATCATTCAGAACTGAACACGGTGACTGAGGGGAGTTTGTGTCTCCCGTTTTAGGAAAGAAGATGAGAACATGTATGAAGGAGAGTCATGTACTGTATATTAGGCAAAAGCATGATGCTGTTATTTGAAAAGTTAATTAGAGTGCCCACTAAAAACCGCTCAGCAATTTTCTTGAAGACCTCAGTGCTCATGTTATTCTTTCCTCTATTTTATTTTCCTCTCCCCTGCCCTTTTCAGAAAGAGTCTACAGCAGAAGCCATTGACCCTGTTCAAATTACAGAAGAGCCCTTTTTGAATTTATGAAAATCCTGAAATATTAAAATTTTGCCAATTAGTGTTTTTTTGGTTTGTTTTTTTTTTTTTTTTTTGGTAGAGACGGGGTTTCACCGTGTTAGTCAGGCTGGTCTCGATCTCCTGACCTCGTGATCCGCCCGTCTCGGCCTTCCTAAGTGCTGGGATTACAGGCGTGAGCCACCGCGCCCGGCCGCCAATTAGTGTTATAGATTTTATTTTTATTTTTAATTTTTGAGATAAGGTCTGGCACTGCATGCAGGCTGGAGTGCAGTGGGATGATCTCAGTTTACTGAAACCTTGACCTCCGAGGCTCAAGTGATCCTCTCACCTCAGCCCCCCAAGTAGCTTGGACTACAGGCACATGCCAACACACCTGGCTAATTTTTGTACTTTTTGTAGAGACAGGGTCTTGTCATGTTGCCCAGGCTGGTCTCAAACTCTTGGGCTCAAGTGATATACCCGCCTCGGCCTCCCAAAGTGCTGGTATTACAGGCATGAGCCACCAAACCCGGCCTCATGTTATGACTTTCCAACCGGAATTTAGTGTTAACAAAGTAATCACAAATGTAATATATTAGTTTGAAATTAGTAATGCCCACCAGATTCAATCACTAAAAAATGTGATGTCATTAAAAACCATTTTCCTACATGGAAACAAGAGCCAACTTCTGTCCCAAGCATGTTGAATTATCACAATTTCCTAATAAGCAGAGTCCAACTTCCTAATTCAAACCCTCAAACTCATTGTTAAATAAGCCCAGAGGAGTTGGACATTTTCCATCACGCATGTGGGAAGAGAGAAGACCAATGATACTCTTCAGATTTAACAGGTAACCCTTAAAAGTATCTGTTAAGAATACAGAGATGACCATGACAACACTATCACCAGAGCAACAACTATCAACTAATGTAACCATGTAGAAATAATGTCTTTTTTGTGGGTCTTCTTTTCTTCCTTTTTTCTTTTTTTTTTTTTCTTTTTTGGTGCAAGACATGGCAACAGTTTCTAAAGTCTATGTTCACATGATATTTGCAAGAAAAGGCTTATTTTAATGACAGCACAAGTGGGTAACTGTTACAGATACTCAACATGACCCTGCACTTTCCATTTCACAGCAGAGGGCAGGATTGTGGTGACCACTCTCAAGTTACCATCATCACGAATCAGCTTACTTAAAACAGTTTATTATGATTATAAATAATCTAAAATATTTTATTTAAAATAGATTATTTAGAATCAATTATTTTAAATACTTTGTGATGTAGAACATTCTCTCTGGTCAAGTGTGGTGGTTCACGCCTGTAATCCCAGCACTTTGGGAGGCCAAGACGGGAGGATTGCTTGAGCCCAGGAGTTTGAGACCGGCCTACACAACATAGTGAGACCCCATCTCTATTAAAAACACATAAATGAGCTGGATATAGTAGCTTGCATCTGTAGCCCCAGCTACTCAGGAGGCTGAGGTGGGAGGATCACTCGAGCCCAGGAGGTTGAGGCTGCAGGGCTGTGATCGCACTACTGCATTCCAGCCTGGGTGACAAAGTGAGACCTTCTCAAAAAAAAAAAAAAAAAAAGCCAGGCGTAGTGGCTCACACCTGTAATCCCAGCCCTTTGGGAGGCTGAGGGAGCAGATCACTTGAGGTCAGGAATTCAAGACCAGCCTGGCCAACATGTGAAACCCCGTCTCCACCAAAAAATACAAAAATTCGCTGGGTGTGGTGGCACGTGCCCATGATCCCAGATACTTGGGAGGCTGAGGTGGGAGGACTGCTCAAACCAGAGGCGGAGGTTGCAGTGAGACAGTATCACACCACTGCACTCCAGCCTGGGTGACAGAGTGAGACTGTCTCAAAAATAAAATAAAGAAGTAACATTTTTTTCTGACCTCCCCTGTTCTTTCTGAGACCTCCTTGTTAAGTTTTAAGACTTGCGGTTTTTGAGGCCTGGTCCTGAAGTGAACTACTTAGTATTACTTACAAAGGACAGACCTTCAAAGTGACATTTCACTGGCAGAAATGGAGAAGGGGCTGAGTACAGATTTCACGTAATAAAAGTGAAATGAAAATGAAGTGCACATGGAAATGTTCTTCTCTGAAACGAATTAGGTTATCCTGTATTTAGCAGTTTCGGGGAAAACATTCAATATTAATATCTCTTATGTTTCTTGAAACCACCCCCCTGCTGCTGCTGCTTTTTTTTTGGGGGGGGGGACGGAGTCTCTCTCTGTCACCCAGGCTGGGGTGCAGTGGCACGATCTTGGCTCACTGCAACCTCCACCTCCCAGGTTCATGTAATTCTCCTGCCTCAGCCTCCCAAGTAGCTGGGATTACAGGCATGTGTCACCACGCCCAGCTAATTTATTTTTTTGAGACAGAGTCTTGCTCTCGTCACCCAGGCTGGAGTGCAGTGGCATGATCTTGGCTCACTGCAACCTCCGCCTCCCAGGTTCAAGCTATTCTCCTGCCTCAGCATCCTGAGTAGCTGCGATTACAGGTGCCCACCACCATGCCCAGCTAATTTTTGTACTTTTAGTAGAGACGGGGTTTTACCATGTTGGCCAGGCTGGTCTTGAACTCCTGACCCAGGTGATCCCCCCACCTTAGCCTCTTACAGTGCTGGGATTACAGGCTTGAGTCACTGCGTCTGGCCGTTTTTTGGTATTTTTTTTAGTAGAGACAGGGTTTCACCATGTTGGCGAGGCTGGTTTCAGACTCCTGACCTCGTGCGATCTGCCCACCTTGGCCTCCCGAAGTGCTGGAATTACAGGCTTGTGCCACTGCGCCCGGCCACCCCTTTTTCATCTATGTTTGTGTGGTCTTTACAACTGCCCCATGAAGCAGGCATCAATCTCCATTTCACCCACAAGGGACTGCGGCTCAGATGCCCAAACTCACACAGCTTTAGTGGTGGCTGAGGATGTGAAGCTGGCTTTCTGAGGCCTTGATAAGCCTCAGCAATAACAAGGCTGACTGATACTTGAGTAGTTACTATGTACTAAGACCTGTTCTATCGCGATACATAGATCCATCCATCCATACATACATATACAGCTGACCCTTGAACAATGGGGAGGGGGGAGCGTTAGGAACACCAACCCCCGACACAGTTGAAAAACTGCCTATAACATTGGATTTCCCCAAAGCTTAACTACCAACAGCTTACTGTTGATGGGAAGCCTTACTGATAACATAAAGTTGATCAACACATTTTTTTTTTTTTTTTTAAAGTCTTCTGTCCCCCTGATCCCTCCCTCCTCCCCCCCCCCCCCTCCCCCCCCTCTCCCCCCCCCCCCCCTATTCTTTTTTTTTTTTTCACGTTAGGATGTCTCTTCCTGACTCTATCCTCTAAAGTTGATTCTTAAGCACATTTTTAAAAGTTATACATATTCTACTCTGTATTCTTAACAATAAAGTAAGCTAGAGAAAAGAAACCATTATTTAGAAAACCAGGCTGGGCATGGTGGCACAAACCTGTAGTTCCAGCTACTTGGGAAGCTGAAGCAGGATGATCACTTGAGCCTAGGAGGCTGAGGTTGCAGTGAGCTGAGATCCCGTTACTGCACTCCAACCAAGGTGACAGAGACCCTATCTCAAAAAAAAAAAAAGGAAAAGGAAAGAAAATCAGGCCGGGTGCAGTGGCTCACACCTGTAATCCTAGCACTTTGGGAGGCCAAGGCAGGAGGATATCTTGAGTCTACGAGTTCGAAACCAGCCTGGGCAACATGGTGAATTCCTGTCTCTACAAAAAATACAAAAATTAGACAGTAGTGGTGCACACCTGTGGTCCCAGATACTCAGGAAGCCAAGTTGGGAGGATCCCTTGAGCCTAGAGGTCAAGGCTGCAGTGAGCCGAGGTTGTGCCACTGCACTCCAGCATGGGTGACAGAGCAAGACACTGTCTCAGAAAAAAAGAGAAGATCATAAGGAAGAAAATATATTTAGTGGATCATCATAAAAGTCTTCATCCTCATCATCTTTTTTTTTTTTTTTTTTTTTTTTTGAGATGGAGTCTCGCTCTGTCGCCCAGACTGGAGTGCAGTGGCCGGATCTCAGCTCACTGCAAGCTCCGCCTCCCGGGTTTACGCCATTCTCCTGCCTCAGCCTCCCGAGTAGCTGGGACTACAGGCGCCAGCCACCTCGCCCAGCTAGTTTTTTGTATTTTTTAGTAGAGACGGGGTTTCACCGTGTTAGCCAGGATGGTCTCGATCTCCTGACCTCGTGATCCGCCCGTCTCGGCCTCCCAAAGTGCTGGGATTACAGGCTTGAGCCACCGCGCCCGGCCCATCCTCATCATCTTCATGTTGAGTAGGCTAAGGCAGAAGAGGAGGAGGGGGAGAAAGAGGAGGAAGGAGAGGGGGAGGAGGGGTTCGTCTTGCTGTCTTAGGAGTGGCAAAGAAGTGGTGGAGGAGATGGAAGGGGAGACAGAAGGGGCAGGCACACTTTATCTTTTAAAATCCATTTATAAATAGACTCATCCAGTTCCAACCTGTATTGTTCAAGGGTCAGTCGTATGTATAATTTAAACCTCATAACAACCCAATGAAGTAGTTGAGACTGGCTCGTCTGATGTTGACTCATTAGACTCTTCAACCCAGAACATATTTACACTTCAAAAAGTAAAAAGGAAGGCTAGCGGTGGTGGCTTACACCTATAATCCCAGGGCTTTGGGAGGCCAAGGTGGGAGGATTGCTTGAGGCTTGGAATTCAACATCAGCCTGGGCAACATAGCAAGACCCTGTCACCACCAAAAAAAAAAAAAAAAAAAATTAGCCAGGCATGGTGGTGTGCACCGGTAGTCCCAGCTACTCGGGAGGCTGTGGCAGGGGGAACCCTTCAACTCAGGAGTCTGAGGCTACAGTGAGCTATGATCACACCACTGAACTCTGGCACAGGTGAAAGAGTGAAAGCCTGTCTCTCGAAATAAAATAAAAACAAAAAGCTTTCAATTTCTAAAAACCTTGCATTCTGAGACAGGCCATGAATATAAAACCTTCCAGGAAGCCTTGAAATAACACCAAAAGCTTGGCATCTTATATAAACCATA